TGGTTTTAATATTATCTCCATTTGTAATGAAAATTAATTTATCACTTCCTTTATATGATAATTCAGAAGAACTGAAATTGGCTGTAGCTGTTTCCCGTTGTAACCTTTTAATCTCTTGAATATTAGGCTTATTGTCTCCACGACGGTCAGAACCGGTTTGTCTCATTCTACTCATGTTGACGAGTATGATTTATTGGGTAAGTTGTTCTTTTTTTATTTTATTTTGATTTTTATTTTGCTTTTGTTGAAAAACAACTTCTTATTTAAGCATCTTGCATGTGTTTGTGTGACAATCATGTTGACGTAAGTGGCGCATTTAACTAAGAAGAAAATGTGTTTTAGAATTGAATAAATCAAGATTCATTTATAAATGAAAATTTTGATCTCTTCAATGAATCATTATTCAAGTAAAAAAAGGAGCTTTTAGGTCGTTGAATTAAAAGGTGAAATTTTATTGGGTAAGGAATAAAATCACCATTCCCTTATCTTTATGTAATAGTAAAAGACATGAATGAAAATTTTTTGTTCGGTATGCAGACAAATTGTCAACAATATAACAAATAGAGCGAGATTAATTATCTTTAAATTATTTGTCATGAAAAAAGTGTAGATTTTCGATAATCGCTCAGAGCTTTATAATAAGGTTGTGCAATAATGATAATTTTATACTTTGAGAATAAATGGTATAAGAAAAGAAAACATAATGTTATTTTCTCTTGTTAAAGTTTAATTCAATATCTGTGTTCAAAATAAATTAAATTGACTGAAAAAAAAAATTTTTTTTTTAACGAATTTTAGGAAAAAATTATCACGTGAATATGCATGATGGTCATTTCTGTGAAACTCAAATTTGGTATCTAACATGATAGTTACTTTAATTAGAGTAATATAATAAAGAACATTTCGATAATAAGTTTTAAATAATTAACGTGTTCCTATATAAATACGCGAGAAGGTTTTTATTATTTTAAAAAAAAATCCTTCATATTTATTTCATATTATTTCGCGTATACTTGTATTACGTTATTGATCAATCAGTTTCACAAAAATGTCTATCAAGGAATTTGGGTTTCACGGAAATGTCAGCATACACAAGTCCATCAAGATCAATACTTTTGCTGCCTTTTATGCTTCCAATAGTAAAAAATTTGATTGGAAGCTTTTTTAGCTTTTTGGACATTTCTCTTACAAAAAATACCAAATAATTGTTATAAAATGACATTCTAGTATTATAATTTATTATAATATTAAAATAATAATTTAGTTAAAAGAAATTATTGAAACTAATATAATAAATTAAATTGATTTAATATTATTTCTTTTATTAATATATTTAATTCTAAGATTTATTAGTTATTATATACTTAATGACAGATAGATATTATATAGTTTAAATGTAATTGAAAGTTTATTATTTTTCAAATAATAATTATTAATATATATATTAAAAAAATATTTTTAAGTTAGTAAAATTGTATTGATAATTATATTTAATTAAATTAAAATATTAAGTTAATTTTATTTTATTATTATTTATTTGATTGAATATAAAATTATAATATATTAAATGTAATTGAAATTTAGCAAAAAAATATATAAAAATTATTAAATACTAAATTTAATTCATTATTTATTATAAATAAATATTAAATTTAGTCTAAAATATTATGATTTATATTTAAAATCAAGAATTTGTAATTTATCATAATAATTATCAAATTAATATATATGTAAGTTTTATTATTTCTAAAAATATATTTCTATTAATAATATTAATATAAAAATATATATAAACAAATATTATATTAATAATAATATAAAATTTATTAAGTTATACATATAAATAATTGAAAATTGAAAATTATATATTTATTATAAAATATTAAAATTTGTAAATAAATTTTATTATATAATTATAATTATAATTTATTTATAATAAAAATAATAGGACTTATAATAAAATATTATTTTTAATTCTCATTAATAAAATTTAACAAATAATTTTCAATTTAAAAATAATTGAAGTTATTAAATAATAATAAAAAATTGATAATATTAAATCTTAAGTTGAAAGTTGAAAGTATTAAAGAATTTATAAAATTCAAATAATATTTATAAATACTGAAAATTATACAAATTTATTCTTAAATTTCAAGATAAAATAAAAATTTAAAATTATTTTTTTGTATATATATTAAAAATGAAGGACGAAACCCAAAAAAAAAATTAATAAACAGCTGAAATTATATTAAAATATAGTGAGAGGTATGACGAAATCCTAAAATCTGAAATTAACTGAAACTATATTAAAAATATAGTAAAAGGGATAATGAAATTATTTTGAGAGAGTTTTGGTAAGTATCTTTAATATATATTATTTATTTTTAAATAGATTATTAATATAAAATAAAATAGATATATAAAAATATACATTATATATTATCAAAGAATACAATTAAAATTTCTTATAATAATAATTTAAATAATATTATAAAATTTTATGAATTAATTTATAGTTTAAAGATAAATATAAATAATTAATAAATTAAATTAAATATTTAAAAACAACTTTTTACTTTAATTTTAATAAAAATAATTTAATAGAATTAATATTTAAAAATATAATATTTTTATAATAAATTAAATATAAATTTTACAAATTTTATTATGTCAAAGATTAATTAATTAATAAACACATAAAATTTCTTTTTTTATTCAATTATTTAATATAAATAATTAATATTTATATGAATTTTTTATTTTTAAATTTTTTTTTTTTTTAAAAAAAAAATAAAAACAAATAAAATATAAAAAATCAAAAAAATCAAAAAAAAATTAAATAAATATATATTTTCTTATTTTTTTTATTTAAATAAATATCATTATTAATTATTATAAATTTTTTTTAGAATAAATTATATTAACAACATTAGAATATGTTTGGCTTATTGCAATTTATTTAATAAACATATATTATTTTATTATTACTTTATTAATTTTTTGAAAAATAGAAAATATACAATTAGATATACCTATTTTAAAGTAAGTATTTGATTATTTCTATTAAATTTTTTGGATTTATATTTATTTTATATTTGATTAAATTATTTGTATATTTAAAAATTAATGATTTTAATTATTTAAAAATTATGTATTTAAAAATAATTATGTAATATATAATATCATTATTCTTTAAATATGAATAATAGTTTAAATAAATTTAACATTATATTTGTAATATATCTTAAAATAATTAAAATAAAATTCATAAATAATATAATTATGTAAAATGTTTATATTTCTATAATTATTAATCTAAAAATATTAAAAATTTATATTTACATATTTTCAAATCTACTGAACAACTTACTTAGGCTTTTAAAGTTGACTTTTTTGACTAATATGCTAAATAGATAAAAAATAAAAAAATTTCATAAGTTAATATAATTATAAAAACGTTTATAATTATAAAAATATTAATCTAATCATAATAAAAATTTATATGTATCTATTTATAGACCTACTGATAGGCTTTTATACTTTAAACAAAATGCTAAATAAATAAATAATAAAAAAATTTTATAAGATAATATGATTATGAAAAATATTCATAAATATATAACTATTAATCTAATTAATTCAATCAATATAAAAATTTATATGCATCTATTTTTAAATATGATGAACAAATTTATTTAGGCTTTGAAAATGGACTTTCTTTAACTAAAGTACTAAAAAGATAAAATATATAAAAAAATTTCATGTAATAATACAATTTTGAAAAATGCTTATAACTTTGCAATTAATAATCTAATAATAATGAAATTTATATTTGAATCTGTTATACAATTTTACTTAGGCTTTCAAAACTGACTTCTTTTGATCAATGAAATTACTGAAATTACACTTTGAAATACATAAATCAATAAAAAAAATTAAAAATAATTGTTGGTTAATAAAATTACTATAAAATTTTTATATAAATAATTTTATCAAATATATAAATTAAGGTGAAATTAAATAAAAATGTTTTAAAAATATATATATATATTTTTTTTTGATGATTTTTCAATTTATGTTAATAGTTAATTGGTTGTAAAAAAAAATTTGTAATCAAATTGATTTTATATATTGTTAAAAAGATATCGTAAATTGAATAATATATGGGAGGTTTGCTAGAAAAATGGGGCTCTAAGAAATTTTTATTAAAATTTTAATTTTTATTGCATTTTAATTTTTGATAATGTTAGATTAAAA